TGAGAACACTTTATTAAAATTAAATCTACAAATCACAGTTCATATTTTGGTCACCCAACTCCTATTATTTAAAATTTTTTAAATAAGTGACAATTCTGTTAAACTAATTGTCAATATATATTTTAGTTATTGATATTAAATATACATTAAAATTTTTGTGTAGACTCGATAAATAATAGCATTTTTGTTTTTATTGTCCAACATTTAAAAAAAATAAATTTTAATCAAACTACATGATACTAATTTAATTACGAGTATTAAAACAAAAGTCCTGAAAGTTTCGGTGAAGATGAGGACAGAGCATCTGCCTTCCACGCGAAAAGCCCGGGATCGAATCTAGGCCGAGGACTAATTAATTTTTCATGTTTATTTTATTTTATAAATTAGTCAACTTCGTTAATTATTTTAATATTAGTTATTTTGTCTAAATAACCTAAAATAATTTTTTAAATTTGTAGATTTTCGTTAATGGGTCCTAAAAAAAATATACTGACCATATCGAGTGGATTGTTCATATCACAATCAGACGAATGAGTACTCCACCTACGACGTCGTGCTCAAACTTCGTCTTTGTGTGATATGGCTATCATATTTCACCCTTGTTGAACAAACTACTATTTATTTGTTTTCTTGGTTTAAGTTTTACATCAGAAATAGGAACTAAATTAATTTACTTTTTAAGTTTTCTTGTAAAAATCGATATTACTCTCTCCAAGTACAAATTTAGTACCTACCTAAAATAAGTACCTACAAATTATGTAATTTCGTGTAATATTGTAATTTAAATTTCACATTATTATAAAGTTACAAAATTCCCTACTTCGGTATGGTCAGATAAAAATTGAATATATAATATTAATAAAAACTGTCAAAGTATTACTTCTACAAATCTGTATTTCAATTAATAAGAATACATCTAAATATAACCAATATTGTTAAAATAAAAGCACAAATTCTTTATAATTCCAAAATACCATAGAGTTCCCAGACCTCAGTCGAAGCTTCGTTTATCTAGGTATAAACCCTTTGCGCGAAGAGTAACACTTGCCAGACACACGGGGTACCACTTTATTTGCATCCACGAGCGTGACAAAATTCTTTAACAATTGAAGCCCTTGGTGTAAAAAGGATCCAAGACACAATTTGTCGTGAAGTGACTGTTTTAGGTCAAAACATTTGTTAACGAGGATTTTACTAGCCACATACAAATTATTTTACCTCTAATCCGAAAGATGTGCTATTTTTCGTAATATTTATATTTAAATATTTTTTTAATTATACTTGACAGATTTAAAACAAATTAAAAATTTAATTTCCCAAAACTTACTTAATATGGCATGTAACCAACCTTATTACGCCAAGGTTTTCAATTTTTTCAATAATAAAAAAATTGTTTAATCCGGGCCCGACTTTTCCCTCGAATCTAACAGAGATAGCACCATTACGTCTTGCTTGGTTCTCGACCGCCAGATCAAAGACGCCGACACGGAGTTGTGGAGCTGTATTGTATAAGCTGTGCAGAGACTCCCACCAGTCCCTTCCTTCTCGATAATTACGTCACAGAGTACCTAAATAATATGTACTCTGTGGTTACGTCAAGTTACGTTGAGCAATAGGGAATGGGACTGTGTTGTGTTGAGTGAGACTGCATAAATGTGCAACAACGATGAGAATAAGATCAACGATATCCAATAAAACATTCAAGTATATGTACAATGGACTTGGACATGTTAATTATTAAATTTAATTTAAAACCAGAAATTTACTAATTAGTATTCTTGGGGGGGGTAGTTACCCCCATTACCCCCCCCCCCCCATATCGACGCCCTTGCTTAAAACAAAGGTTAAAATATGATCATTATTTGTAATCAGAGTATAGTTGAAACCATTGAGATAGAATAAAGGGGAGACGCTATGACGTTACTAAAAGTGTCCGCACTTTTCAATAAGCATTACATTTTTACGTCATGTGTCAAACTAACGTGACCTAGTCAGTTTGATTACTGTTTTGGTGAGAATAAACGCCATTTTATTTAAATAGCTACATTTAAATCTTATAAAAAGTTGTTTATTTTAATTTTAAATAATGGTATCATGTGCTATAAGAAGCTGTTGCAGCAGTGGCAGCGTTAATAAGAAAAAAACTTCAGGAATTACATTTCATAAGTAAGTCTAAAGCATATTCTAAACAATTATAAGGACCGTATTCTTAATTTTTGTTTCAATGTTTGTGTGTTAATTAATCATAATTTACTTTTCTAATAATATAAGTATATCAATCTTCAATCCCGACGAAGATTCGAATTTTCATCTAATGTGTTATTACGACCACCTAATGACATCAAACTTCTTCCGAGCACCTCAGCATTCATTGTTAGTACTTCTAAAGATAAATCTGTAGATCATGAAAAATATTTTTCTGAGAAGATAACTTCTAGAGAAAAGAAGATTTTGGCAAAACTAAAACGTACACACGAAATAAGCAAGAAAAGAAAACGGAAGCTGGAGCAAATTAGAAAAAATGTCGTCGTAAAGAAAAACGAATTGCAGATATAAAAGAAATCATCTCTGTTCTTAAAAAGAAAAAAATATATAGAAGATGAATATTTGGACATTCTATCTAGGCTTGACGGACCACAAGAATTATATCTTCGGAAATTAAAAAAGAAAATAATCAATCCTTACCAAAGCAATACTCTGAGGAGTTGAAGGTATTTTCTTTAACTTTACACTACTACTCACCAGCTGCGTACAACTATGTACGACGTACCTTTAACACATGTCTTCCTCATACCGGAACCATAAGCAGATGGTACCAAAGTTTAAATGGGGAGCCTGGGTTTACCAGTGAGTCATTCAAAGCTCTAAACATTAAAAGTGCGGTCAAGCGAGAAAAAAGTTATTGGCGCTTTAATTATGGACGAAATGGCTATTCGCCAATTAGATGAATGGGTTTTAAGTCAGGGAAGACTTATGGTTTTGTAGACATGGGGACCGGAGTAAAGGAAGAAACCCTAGCTAAAGAGGCTCTTGTTTTTTTACTAAATTGTGTAAATGGGAACTGGAAAATACCTTTAGCTTATTTTTTAATAGCTCGAGTATTTAGTGAGCAAAAGGCTTGCTTAGTATTAGAGTGTTTGAAAAAATGTAATGACGCTGGCGTTTATATAATAAGTCTGACATTCGATGGCTGTCCAGCTAATTTAACCATGGCCAATAGATTAGGTTGCAAATTAGATCATCGCAATCTAAAAACAACATTTACTGATCCGAGTTCTCAATAAGAAGTGGCGGTATTTTTGGGTCCTTCACATATGGTCAAACTAGTTAGGAATACCTTAGGAGATAAGTACTCATTTCTGAACAGTGATAATGAACTGATAGAGTGGAGATATTTTATGAAATTGCAAGAGCTACAAGAAGAAGAAAACTTTTATCTTGCAAACAAATTGAGGAAACAACATATAGTATTTAAACAACAAAAATGAAGGTAAAGCTCGCAACACAGTTGTTTAGTGAAAGTGTAAACATGTTTTAGATATAGAAGAATTTGAGAATGTTAATACAACTATTGAATTTGTAAAATTAATTAATAATTTATTTGATGTTCTGAATTCGAGAAATCTCCTTCAATTTGGTTACAAAAAACCTCTATCTAGAAAAAATTTTGACAATATTTCAACATTTTTGGATATGGCCGATAAATATGTTGACGGCTTAAAAACACATTGCAATGGGCAATTATTATTAGACAGTGGGAGGCATACGGGATTTTTAGGATTAAAAGTCTGTATCCACAGTAATAAATGTTTATTTAATTCTTTAGTTGTGCAAAACAATTTATTATCTTTTTTACCAATATATAAAATCTCCCAGGATAACTTGGAATTATTTTTTTGTTCCATCCGTTCACATGGGGGTTATAATAACAACCCTACAGTATGACAATTTGTGTCAGCCTATAAAAAGCTACTCGTCCATGTAGAGTTATGTTAAAGTTTTCGTGGGAACTGTATACCCTTAGAAGAGATTAGTATTTTAAAGTGCGATGTAGTCAGACAACTTAATATAACATCAACTGAATATTCAATTTACAACCAAGTACAAGATTATGAAAATGATCCCTTGGAAATTATTAAAGCCATCGAATTAGATCACGGTTATGTACCAGATCCCTGTATCACTCCATTTTCGAAATATGTAATTACTTACATCGCGGGTTACGTTGTTTATTCTATAAATAAAAAAATACATTGTGGACAATGTTCTCAAGCACTAATAAGTGATACAAAAAATATTAACATATTATTAGTTTCTGAAAAACAGATTTCACTTGACATCTTGATTCAGTTAGTATTAAGAGAATATATTTCTTCAAACACATTTTCAAATCTTGTACAACATGGATTCGATCAGTCAATTTTTGATAATCACAGAACATTATTAATGAAATGTGTTGCGAGCAGGTACCTAAATGTAAGAATGTGTTATTTATCAAAAAATAAAGCAAATAAGAAAATTAGCGTAAGACACCATAGTAATAAGATGGTTTTATTTAAAGAACAATAAAACATTTTAAAAAAAGGACTTTTAATTTACCCAGGTAAAATCATTTATTCTAATTAAAAAATATTTGTTGGAGTTAAAAGCATTTTTTTTAACAATACATTTAATATATCATTTTCATTCCGACGATCTTCAAATATAAAATTACTGACTTCAAATCAAAGTACTACTCTGTCTACGTCGCCATTTTAATTACATTTTTCTGTCAGTCTTAGCATCGCTAAGTGCGTCCATATTTCTTATCGCAAAATAGTGTTTATGTCGTCTCTACTTTATTCTATCTCGATGGTTGAAACCGAAAATAATAGTCATGTGTCATTGCACCAATTTTCGGAGATAAGAAAATTTTTCAGTGGCGGGTATATCCTTCAACATTTTTCACGAATGTTTAACATTCCTTTGCCTATTACTACCGGATTTAAATTTATAGGTACCTGTATTTAGGATGACTAATAGCATAGACGTACGGATCCAAACAAGCTACAAGTTTGCAGGCCAAGGCTGGTATCATGGACACTCCAGGCGATAATAGGCCTTGATCTCCAAATGCACCTATTAGTGACAGTACAGCGTAAGGTGTCCAAGCAGCAACGAACAGGAAACAAACTGTTATAGCCGCTTTGGCTATCCTCAACTCCGTGGATTCGTTCTTATGTTGTTGGTTAGCTCGCAAGGATTCCACGTTCATTTTTTTCGCCTAAATTTTTAAAATAATATGATTAATATCCCGTTTAAAAACGACGGATCTAATTAGAAGGGTGCCTTTTCAAAACGTTTTAAAATATTAAAAGCCAAATGCAAGACAGTTCATTTAACAAAGAACAAAGAAAAAGATTTAGGACAGGACATACAAAATAAATGTGATTAAGTCCGAAAAAACTTTTTAGAAAAACAAATTTAAATTTATTAGTAGTTCTTACATCTAAATTTGCATTAAATAACTTTTACATGGACGAAAAAATAAAGCGAATGGACGTGAGAATGCAAGATTGCATTCTCGTGGCATCGTGTTACGCTGGATTCACTGTATTGCTACCATAACTTACATAACCTATAAATGTATGTAAGCATTCTTAGAAATGTGCACTTGAGAATTTTTAGTATCTCAAACTTGGAACTTATCTTTCCTCTTAAAATATAGATGTTCCGGAGCATGATAAGTATTTATTTTATACGTATTTATTTTAAAACATCTAGTTAGTGTTGATACGTTTATCTAACCTATTCTTTATGAACTTCACCTGTTTATAAAGACTAGATTGATTTAATAAAATGTCTTATATACATAAGAGTTACAGCTAAAGTGATAATAATAGATTCTTCACCTCAAATGAATATCCGTGAATCAAAAGATAATGTCATTTTGAAAATCTATAAATTTTATTCAAAACTATTAGATAGTTTCACTTTCTTTTGGTAAAATATGATTAGGTACATATTAAAAAAAAAAATTGAATTTTGTAAGATGACTGACTTAACTCCATTTCCGGCAGCTAGTGGAAACTAAGTATTTTGTAATTGGTGTGTTCCATTGCAGGTACCACCATTGATATGTTTTACTTTTCTATTCAGCAGGATATACAGGGTGTCTGAAAAAGGTCTTTACAAAAACATACCACATATTCCTTAGACCAAAATAAGTCGATTTAAGTAAAATTACCTTAGTACAAAGTTGCTTCGTTTGGGTTCCAGAGGGCCTTGAAGTTACAATTTTTAAATCGTTTTTCCCATATAAATGTAAAACGGCATATGCGATTTTGCTGAAATTTGGTATATTGGTAGAGTTTTATATGGCAAAAAAATTGGTTTTAAAATTTTGTCCGATAATAATACATAGGCGTAGAACTTGATTTTTTAAATAATTGCACATTTAAAAATTCTACGCCAATGAAAGAAAAGGAGTTTGAGTATGAAATTTAGATTGCGCAACTCATTAACTTTAAAAAAGTTACTTATGATAAGACTCGATTACTCTCATGGTTTTCGCTAAATTTCTGTTTTAATAATTTAGAGTGTATAGGTTTCACAAAAATATTTATTTACAACATAATCAAAATAGAGATTTTACAAAAATTGTTCAAAATGTTCACCATTTTCACGCATATAAAGATTTATACGTCGAAGAAAATTAAAATGTATCCTTTCCATAACTTCACCTGTAAGATTGTTTATTGCATCTTGAATACGTTGCCAGAGTTGTTCCTCATTTTCTACAGGTTCCCTGTAAACTGTGGATTTCAGATGTCCCCATAAAAAGTAATCCATCGGTGTTAGGTCTGGGGAACGTGGTGACCAGTTTATAGGTGCGTCATTGCCTCTGCCTATCCATTTGTGTGGATATTGTTCATTCAAGTGGTTTCTAACGTTTAAAGAAAAATGTGGTGGAGCTCCTTCTTGCATAAACCACATATCTCTCCGAAGTTGGAGAGGTAAATCTTTTAACAATTCTGGCAACGTATTTTGTAGAAAATCCAAATACTTTTTTCCAGTTAATCTTCGTGGAAGTATGACAGGACCAACAATGAAATTACCAATTATTCCAGCCCACACATTAATTTTGAATTCGTGCTGAAAATGGTTTACCTTTATTGCATGCGGATTTTTAACGTCATAAAAATGTTCATTATGGGTATTAGTTATACCTCTTCTTGTAAAACCCGCTTCATCGGTAAAGAGAACCTTCTTGACAAAGTTTGGATTTCTTTCTCTTTGCATATTAAGAAATCGACAAAAACCCAAACGAATTTGAGGATCATGGACTAATAATTCTTGTAATGGCTTCTTATGGTAAGGATATAGCAATTGTTCTCTAAGCACTTTATGAACGACATCTTTACTTACTCCTAGTTCCCTTCCAATTCGTCTGGTGCTTAATTCTGGATATTCTTGAACACGTTCTAAAATGTCTTCAACTTCAGGAATCCTTACAAAACGTTCTCTTCCATTATCAACAGTGTTGGGAGCAAAGGAACCGGTCTCCCGAAGACGTCTCTCAACAGCAGCAAAAGTTGGGTGGCTAGGTACACGACGATTTGGAAACCTTTCAGAGTACACCCTGACACTCTCTCGAACATTTCCTTCACAAAATCCTAATGTCAGTAACATATCGGTATATTCTGCATTGGTATATTGTACAGCCATATTAATAAACCACGCATTTGTTTTTTTTAATTATTGAGTCAGATAAGACACTTTCAATCGTTAACAAGAGATTAGGTGTTGAAACTTGACAATATTTTTATTTAGATGAAACTATAGAAACCAACAATAAATGTTTTTGTATACGTATTGCACAGAGGAGTAGATAACATCACATCCAGATGGATGGCTCAGCTGTTATCTTCGAGAACTGCAGAGACTCAGATAGGGCAGGACACCATCTCCATCTGAACAACCAGAGGATGTCCACAAGGAGGAGTTCTATCCCCACTAATGTGGAGCCTAATCGTAGACGAACTTCTATGCAGATTGACTGACCTCGGCATACCCTGTCAAGGTTATGCCGACGACATAGTCATATTTGCTAGTGGCAAGTTTAGTAATATCCTGTGTGATATAGTCCAAAGAGGACTAGAACATACCAAAAGATGGTGCCGTGAAGTGGGACTTAGTATAAACCCTACAAAAGCAACACTAGTAGCCTTTTCAAGGAAAAGAAAACTTAATCTCAAAACCGTTAAATTAGACGGGATAGATATAGAATGGAAAAATGAAGTCAAATATCTAGGCCTAACCCTGGACAACAAACTTCTCTGGAACACACATGAGAAGGAAGTAGTAAATAAGGCCACAAAAGCCCTAATGGTATGCAGAAACATGGCGGGTAAACGATGGGGATGTAACCCAAACATACTGCGATGGATGTATACTGCAATAGTGAGACCAATCATCACTTACGGGGCTATAGCCTGGAGTAACAGAACTAGTTTAGTTACTACGAGAGCTAATATCTCAAAAGTACAAAGACTAGCCTGTGTTTGCATTACTGGTGCAATGAGAACCTGTCCTACGGCCGCAAAGGAGGTGATCTTAAACCTCACCCCTCTACATTTGATGATAGAGAATGTGGCAAAAAGGACACGATATAGAATGATCAGGAGCGGAGTAATCAGACGAAAGTCTACTTGCTTCAGGACTAAAGATACCTGGGACATGCCCCAGGATGAAATGCAAAAGAAGTACAGTTTTGTGAAAAACTTCAAAACCACAGAGCTGGGCTGCAAGAAAGAATGGAGCCAAGAATCCATCGCGCTTGCAACCGAAAGACGTGCTATTCAGTGGTACACGGACGGTTCCAAAACCATAGAAGGAACTGGAATAGGAGTGTATGGGCCGAAAACCAAGCACTCCGAAAGCTTGGGAAAATACCCAAGCATCTTCCAGGCGGAAATTCACGCCATCGAGAAGTGTATCCAGTTTAACATCGAGAGAAACTATCATAGACAAGAGATTATCATCATGTCCGATAGTCAAGCAGCCATGAAAGCGCTGAGTTCTTACGTAATCAGCTCAAAAATAGTATGGAGATGCCTAGAACAATTGAATGAGCTAGGCGAGAAAAATAGAGTTACTCTCACTTGGGTCCCGGGACATAACGGGATACAGGGTAACGAGATTGCAGATAGTCTTGCAAGGAAAGGGGCTCAAACACCCTTTGTAGGACCTGAGCCGTTCTGCGGTATCAGCAGTAACATAATATTAGAAGAGTTTAAAAAAGAATTGGGTAGTAGAAGAACCGATAATTGGAATAATCTCTTGGGGCTGAGACAGGCCAAGATACTTCTGGGTGAATATAACCAAAAAAGATCGGAAGCCTGCATCTGCCTGAGCAAGAACAGGCTACGTATTGTAACAGGGATCCTTACCGGGCACTGCCGACTAAAAGGACACCTAAGTAAACTAAAAGTAGTAGAGGATAGTGAGTGCAGATTCTGTGAGGAGGAGGACGAAACCTCCATTCACATCCTAACTGAATGTGTAGCACTCCAGAATCCAAGGGCACTATATCTAGGAGGATATCAAATAGAAGAGGGAGACTTACCTAACTTGAAGCCACTTCAAATCCTACACTTCCTTGAGAAAATAGGATTGGAAGGGTCGCTATAGGCATTGAGACATTTCCTTAGTGCAGTGGCGACAGAAGGGGGCACAATAGATCTTTTAGGTCGCAGTGTATTAACACCCCATTATCAACATAACATAACATACGTATTGCAGGCAAATAATTAATATTCCTCAAAAAATCGTACATGGCAAGAATCGAGTATTTTTGTTAAAAGTCTCGATTAGAGGTGTTGAAGAAGATATGAAAAAAGTACATTTTTATGTTTTTCTACGTATAAAATTTTGTCCGATAATAATACATAGGCGTAGAACTTGATTTTTTAAATAATTGCACCTTGAAAAATTCTACGCCAATGACAAAAAAGGGGTTTGAGTATGAAATTTGGATTGGGTACTCATTTACTACAAAAAAGTACCCTTAATAACACTCGATTTACTCTCATGGTTTCGGCAAAGTTTGTATTTTAATAATTATTGTTTATGTTCTAAAATTACTAAAATGCAAATTTCGTCAGAGTAATCGAGTCTTATCAAGAGTACCTTTTTTAAAGTAAATGAGTTGCGCAATCTAAATTTCATACTTAAATTCCTTTTCTTCCATTAGCGTAGAATTTTTAAAGGTGCAATTATTTAAAAAATCAAGTTCTACGCCTATGTATTATTATCGGACAAAATTTTAATACCATTTTTTTGCCACATAAAACTCTACCAATATACTAAATTTCAGCAAAATCTCATATGCCGTTTTAAATTTATATGGGAAAAACGATTTAAAAATTGTAACTTCAAGGCCCTCTGGAGCCCAAACGAAGCAACTTTGTACTAAGGTAATTTTACTTAAATCAACTTATTTTGGTCTAAGAAATATGTGGTATGTTTTTATAAAGACCTTTTACTATCTATAACTATCTAATTTTTGTTTTTATTTAAATCCTGTATAAAAAGCTATCTACATATCTACGTACTACCTAATTTTTACTTTTTATTTACTTAACTAATTGTATAAACCTATTATACAATTTTTTTTTTTTATTTACAGGTGATATCATTTTAAATAGAATTTACCTGATCTCTTAAAGCTTTCTCGTGGGCAAAAACTTTGTTCACAATCTGACTGTAATAGAAAATTATAGCAACCATGGGAAAAACGTATGAACATGTGAATATCGATCCCACAAATAATTTGTTGTCAAATGTTCTTGTTAGGTAGTCAAATGAACAGGCTGTTAAGTAACCCTCTAAAAAGTAATACATGTCCTTATTATTTAAGACATATAAAAATTCAAATTTATATGTTAAACCGATGGAGGTATAATACTAATGGAGATGCCATGAGGCAATTGTTTTGCATATGATACGTTTTATTAAAAATGACCCCACTGGGCGTGGCTTAAATGGTTGACTAAGCAGGGTCGTATTCAAATATAATTAAAGTCCGTATGCAGAATTACAACTTTTAAATGACTTACTTACCTAAGATTTGTTTCAACATAATCGATTCGAAATTAGTTTGATGACATTGCGCAATTATGACTTCTACACTATTTACTATTATTTATTAACCGTTTTCCGACCAAGCCAATGCCAAGACCATAAAAGAGATTAATATTATTATATTGTTCTGTCTTCGCCGAAACCGTCCGATATAAGACCTGTGTGATCGAAAATCAACGTTCGAATAACACTGTGCATCAGATTTGTTAATCTCTTCGTGCTTTAAAACTAAAACCCGAACTACGATTTTTCGTTCAAGGACTCTCTTGTCTTGATCAAAGCTGCCAATGTCAAAATCTGACAATGAGGAGAATTATGACATCAAATTACCAAACCAAAAACCAAACCACTACGTGAATTGTGAATAAATATATTTCAATAAAAATACAGCCGAGTTTGTAGAAAGGACAATTAATTACTTTTAAATATAAAACATGTAGGTCTTTCTGCTGCAGATGACATACATTAAAAATATGACCCGCTACAGTCAAAAGTTTAAAAAGACCAAAAATTCATTTAGGTATGACTTTATGGTTAAAAGTAGATGGAAGAAAACCATGATCAAAACTACTGTGTCAAAACCAATCGGAACTAAAAAGACTCAGATAATAGTTGTTGGTTTTATTTATGTTTGAAATAATTAATTATATAGGGTAGGTACATATATTACTAAAATTGCAAGCAAGTACTTACTAAAGATTTCTATAATTGGTACCTATGTATAATAAACAACAATCTCACAGATGCACAGCATACAACTATACAAATGGAATTATACAGATAATTTATTTTAAAAATAGGCATTCAGTTGCGATTTGTGATTACAAAAAGAAAACTTTAACCACTTTTTCTGATCAGTAATGTTAGTGTTATATTGAAAAAGTTTATAGAAACTGGTGTTTTTATTCCTAATAAAGCATTGTGAATTTCCAAGAAAAGTGCATGATGAAACTTGTTTTGACCAAAATTTTGAATGTCATGCCATTTAAAAAGAAACCCTGTGGCTGTGGATAACATTTGACACAAAATCTTATCCTAAAAATAACTGTTTGGTTGCATTGAAGGAATAATTTCTTCATTGGTACTTTTTTAGGGTGCAAGGATGACTTGACATTACTAAATTTAAACCTTTGTTATAAGTTGTCTTTTTGCTTTAATTTCTGATACTGTACATACTTGAAAAATATAAAATTGTTCAAGTGGGAAGTTTATATACAAGGTGTCTCATTGAGAAAGGGATACAGAACAACTGAAGAGTCTGATTAAAAATAAGACTATGCTTAGAATGCGAATATTCTTCATTTTAATTTTGAAGATTTTGAAGTTTCTTATAAGTTCGCAACAAAAGTACCTATACGATTTACTTAAAAAACATCAAAAAATATATAATTATAGTTCAAATAAGTGTAACGTACACCAAAAACTTTTGCCAAATTTGGTAAAATTATAGGTAACTCTTCAGTTTTTCTGTGTCCCATTCTTAATAAGACACTACAAAAAAAATTTTATTATTTAAAAAAATATTTATTGACCTTTAAACAACACTATTTTGTTGTTTTGATGTCTTATGCTAGCAGCTTTATTAACTCTAGTTTTAGTGAGATATGTTAGTCGGATACTAACATATTTATCAACGTTTTTTACTTAAATCATTTAATATATTTTTTAAGTTTGGCAATTTTATTCACTTTTCGAGAAAGTTGTCGTCTTAGCAATTTTAATTTTTGCTTTCTTTTTGCACTTGTTGCCCGGACAGAGGAGAGTGTATGTAATATTTTTTGTTTCTTTGGCGTCAGCGGTTTTTCATATGGAAGAATATTTAGAGAAGAAGTAGAGGGTACAGGTAATTCGATCTGACTGGTTTGATTTGCTGGTTTAATAAGAATATTTGATAGGATCCTGATTTTTGGACGAGGAGGTGTAGGTATGGATGGGTTAGTCTGGAACAAGATTTGGTATGTTATAAAGCCTTAAATATAGATCCATGATACAAAAACTACTAGTTTAAGTTCCAAAACTACTAATTTTTAAATATCATTAACTTCGTAATATGTTTTAAATTATATTTATTGTGTATTGTGAACAAAGTCGGCAGGTTTTTAAATCAAGGAACATCAATTTAATGTTTGTTCATTTAATATTAATAATAATTGTAATGTGGTACATGAGCGGGCATATTATTTTATATCATGAGGATGAGGAGGTACATAGTAATGAGTGATGGCCACAAATCTAATTTAATAATAAAAATACATCACCAGTATTTATTATTATACAGTATATTCATTATCAAAACGGTATGATAATAGGAAATTAGGATCTAATAAAAACTGCTTTTATATACTTGAAATTTTATTCTAAATTATGTGTTACTTAAAAAGTTAGTCATTTAAGTGTAATTATAAGTTGGTTTTTAAGTTTAATTATAGTTGGTCTTTAAGTTTAATTATAAAGTTAGTTATTTAAGTTTTATTATAGTTATCTAAGTTTTAATATAGTTATTTGTCTTTATTATAAAGTTAGTCAAGCCAAAGTTCTTTATTAAGTTAGTTATTTAAGTTTCATTGTAAATAAAGTGTATACTAACTAAACATTCATTTATTGTCGGAACAGCATTCTTCTTCAATCTGACCCTAAACTCACTCTTATCAAAAAATTCTTCCTTGAAGTGAATAGAGCACAACATGCTATTCGGTTTAGGCTCAAATTGGTCTTTTCCCACAAATTTAGACCAAATTTTGAGATATTGTGGGTCTTTTGGAAACCTAAAAAAGTTAAGCATTCTAAAAAAAATTCTAAGTACACTCCTTATACTTACTTATGAAAACTTAAATTAGATATTTTCTTACGCTCTTTCACTGAAGAGTTTTTACAATTAATTTTGGCACACTTAGTCATGATTTTTATACAAGTTAATCAAAAAAAAAACACTTATTAAGATAGAAATAACGTCGAAATATTTAAATTTGAACAAAGTTCTGACAGCTCTTTGACAACTATGACATGACCACTAAGAGAGGGGGAAGGGGTGTCGTTTTTTTTTTTGGCATGTCATCTCCATAGTATTCAACCTCATTGGTTAAACCGTAACAAAAGGGGTTATGATGGACAAGTAATGTTATTTTTGACAGACACGTTATTTGTGAACAGGTTGTTATTTCTGTGTGTTTATAAAATAACAGACCTGTTAAAAATAACACAGGTTGTCAATCAAAACCCCCTAATACAGTAACCATAAATTATTTGGATCAAAAAATAAGGATTGAACCAAATTTAGGGTTTTTTCTAATAATTTTACAACCTCTTGTTACGGGAGTCGTCTGAGTTTGATGAAGTACATTTTTTATATATTCCTACAATTCTTTAAATATGTTCTGACATTATGCGAAAAATGGTAGGGAGCACCATCTAGCTGAAGCGACATTTTTGCTCTAATATCCAAGGGAATGTCTTCTTCTAACAAGTTCTGAAAATAGTGCCCTACCAAGAGTCTTGCTATCATTTCATCATTGGTTTTGACGATCTATAATTCGACATGCATGTTCATTTTTCCAGATATAATAATGAAAATTATGTGTAAGTAATGTTTCATTAATGAATTATTATTCAACAAGTAATGATTAATATATTACTTACTAATTACGTAATAATAAATGTATTATATGTTACCTGGCATATATCTGCCCCAAGTTTCGAACATTGGCAATACTGCCCATGGCATTGTATACATCCAAACAAAAACAATCATTAGAAATGCTTTAGTTCTAGTGAGTTTACCGTCAAATGGCCTAGTTATTGTTGTATACCTAACAAAAATATATTAGTGTTATTTGTCAATAGCAAAACGATTGAATGGAAAGTAAGACAATACTATTGAAAGAAAAAAAACTTAAAGGTACATCATATTATAGGTAGGTATATACCGTTAGACCACCTAGTCTATGTAGAATATAAACTAGAATGAACATATATATTGTAATGTGAGCCATTTCATTATTCAGTCATGCTCTAATCCTCCAAGTCCTTCTCTATCTTATTTGGCCTTTGAGGCTCAACTTCTCCGATTATCATACCTAATTAAACCCCTTAAGACCAAATATATGTGACGACTATGGCGGAGGAGCTTTCGATGACTATTCGAGAAAGAACAGGATAATTGGTGAACATTCTAGGACCTTCGCCATTCTTTTAAATTTGTATATAAATATTGGTGGAGGATCAAGCGGAGGTCATTAGTAGATAGACAGTGGTGAATATAAATAGTAAACGATTCAAAGACATTCGAAATATATATAAATTAAAATAGTAGTGTTATAAAATCAATAAATTATTAATAAACATAAGTAAACTGTTGTTTAAAATAAACAAACATCACATTGGTGTCAGAAGTGGGATAGTGTAAATAAATAGTGGACAAAAATGGCTAAAAAACTGTGTGACTTAAAAGTGCCTGAGCTACGTCGAGAATTAGAAGAACGTGAACTGGAGACGACAGTGAAGAAATCAGAGCTGGCAGAACGACTCAAAAAGCACTAGAAAATGAAAGTTTGGATCCGGAAACGTTTCTATTTTCGAATGACGCGTCTGCTATAATTTCTTCAATTTCTTCTGATATGTCTTCTATGAAAATCGATATTTCTTATAATATTTCCTCATTAGAAACTAAAGTTTCTTCAGACATTTCCTCCTTAGAAAGTAAAGTTTCTTCTTTAGAAGAGAAGGTGTCTTCTCACATATCTTCTTTAAAAACCGAAATTTCTTCCGACTTGGAAAACAAAATGTCTTCTATAGAAAATACATTTTCGTCTAATATTTCTTCTTTAGAAGAAAGGGTGTCTTCCGAAATGTCTTCTATGAAAAACGAAATTTCTTCTATGGATGATAAAATGTCTTCCGTAGAGTCGAAGTTGAAATTCGAAGAAGCTGTAAACTTTTGACGGAAATATGTCTTGGACAAACTACCTTAAGCAGTTCGAAACACCTGCCAGAGCAGACGAGTGGTCTGAACGAGAAAAGGCAATAAATTTGACCATCGCCCGTCGAGGAGACGCTTTGGGTGTCCTTCAAACTATACCCGTGGAAGAGACAGATGATTTTGAACAACTCAAAAAGAGACTAAATATGCGATATGGCCACGAGCATTTATACCAGTCACAGTTGAAGAATCGAAAACAGAAACATGACGAGATCCTTCAAGAATTCGAATTAGATATTGCGAAGATGGTGCGATTTGCCTACCCATCTCCGGAATACATGATTGAATGTTTGGCCATTCAAGCATTTGTAGATGGACTTCGTGACCATGAAATGCAAAGAACACTCCGTTTGGCCCGTCACAGAACATTGGTCGATGTCTTTTCCGCTGCTCTTAAATACGAAGCGGCTACGCTGGCTTCTGGTGGATACAGTGAAGTAAGGACTGTAAAAGAAGAAGTACAGGAAAATAAATTGGACCAATTGTTTCACATGGTAAAAAGCCTTATTGAGAAGCAACCGAAGACTATTAGGTGCTGGAATTGCGGTGAAATGGGAAATATAAGCAGTTCATGCAAACGTCCAAGGGTCACAACGAATCAAGACAACACGCCGCAAGAAAACTAGAAGGGGCAGCTTCGACCCGAAACCGTTCCAAAAAGCCTCTCATACTGATAGCCTCTTTGAAATGTCGCGATGGTAGTGTATACGTAGACGGCGAAGTAAATGGCAAAAAGTATACACTGTTGGTGGATATTGGAGCAACTAGGACTATTATACGACCAACAACTATAAATAATCGTAAGAAACGTCTACCAACAAGATTGCGACTACGGACTGCCACAGGTAAAAGTGCCAACATCCATGGGGAAATCCAGGTTCAATTGGGAATTGGTACAGAAAAGTTCACTCATACTGTTATTGTCGCTGATATCGAAGAAGATGTTATTCTTGGAATGGATGTAATGAACTTACATGGTTTCCAGTTGGACTTTAAAAACAGAGTGATCAAAGTTGGTACCGAAGAGATATTTTTACATCCATATGGGGACAGTACCGTGTCAGTTGCTGTACAGGAGAATACGGTGGTACCGGGCAGAAGTGAAATGGTTATAGTAGCACGGCTTCAAAAAACTATGGAAGAAGGAACACCTGTCATGATGGAACCTTGAAACCACGATGAAGAGGTTGGACGAGGAATTCTGATCGGAAAGGGGTTGGTCACGACTGCTAAGGAGATTCCAGTCCGTATTATAAACGTTAATAATCACCCAATTACCATCAAGAAAGAAACCAGAATCGGAACTTGTGTACCAGTAACTTCCATAATTCGTCAGACAACAACTTCTGATAATACCAACGACAAATTTGAGCAAATGATTGCAGTTGCTGGTGAATCTCTGAATCAATTAGAGAAAAGTAAATAAAGGAATTTTTTCGACGATATCGTGACATTTTGTACCAAAAGGAGGAAAAACCGGAAGAACTTCTGTCGTAAAACACAAAATTAACACTGGTGACGCCAGGCCGATTCGTCAATCAGCTCACAGATTACCAAGGGCCAAGAGAGAGGAAGCTGAAAGGATTGTTCAGGAAATGAAAGAAGACAGGGTCATAGAACCTTCTACCAGCCCATGGGTCTCTCCGACAGTCCTGGTCCAGAAAAATGATGGAACTACGAGATTTTGTGTGGATTACCGTCAGTTGAACAATATAACCAAGAAAGACAGTTATACTCTTCCTCGAATCGATGATACCTTGGACACATTGGCCGGAAGTAAACTATTTTCTACCTTAGACCTAAAGTCTGGATATTAGCAGGTGGAAATGGACCCAGTAGACAAAGAAAAGACAGCTTTTACCTCCGGATCTGGATTGTGGCAATTTAATGTCATGCCATTTGGACTATGTAATGCTCCCACGACAGTTGAAAAACTTATGGAAAATGTATTAAGAGGGTTATCTTGGAAAACATGCCTGGTTTATTTAGACGACATAATAGTCTTGGGGAAGACATTTGATGAACATCTAAAAAACTTAAAAGATGTTTTTAAAAGACTTCAAGCTGTCCAACTGATGCTAAACCCCAAGAAATGCCAGCTATTCCAAAATAAAGTCAGTTACCTGGGCCATATAGTCAGTAAGGATGGCGTGGCTGTAGATAAGGAAAAAGTCGCTTCTATCAAAGAGTGACCACAACCAACTGATAAACGCCAAATAAGACAGAGAGGGACTTGGAGGATTAAAGCATGACTGAATAATAAAATGGCTCACATTACATTATTACGCTTGGCATTCTATATCATAATCTTCACAGTTTACCAGATTTTTTTTAAAAATAGGTTTTATGCCTTTACAGAGCTTGTTTTTTCCTGAAGATATCAAATTGATATCATTTTATCAATGACGAGTTTTCAACCATACCCGTTTCATGTGATCTAGTAAAATTAAAAAATTAATGAAAATAGTGACTTTTATGACAACTTTAAGTATCAGTTCAAGTATGTAACATCTTTCAGTCAACTACATATTCACTACAATAGTGATAGCTTTTTTACTTACTACTGACCTGTCGTAGGCAATGCAAGCATTGGTCATGCCTTGTGATATCCCTGCAAGTGACCCTATTAAAGCGTATACCTGGCAGGATAGCCATCCGGCTGCGAAACCACCATGAAATGAATTGTAGATAAAAATTGGAATACTTGTGAACATTAAGAAGTCAGTGAATGCCAGATTTACCACAAACATGTTTGAAGGTGTTCTTAAGGATCTTGCTCTAAAACAAAGTTTTTTTAGAACACAATTTACCCAGACAGCACACTATATTCCTGGCATATGCCACCAATCTGCCTATTTGCCAAAATATATTGCAATATTTATGGAATATTCACAGAATATATTTCATATTCTATATTCTAGAAAGATATTCCAGGCATATGTATTTTTGATATGCTCTGCATATTCATTTTTCATATTGTATAGATATCTCTGTAGAATATTATATTGAACTATTTTGTTTTATTATTTATAAGTACAAATGAAGATATAGTCTACAGAATCATCCTTTGTTTAGTTTATAAAGACTTAAATTAAACAAAAACGTGAACTTAGAACTCCGGAATGTAACTTTAAATCATGCAAACTTATTTTCAATTAATAAAAAAAAATCAAACCTCCGAGATCAAATTATCTTTATCTTCATAGATAAAATAAGTATGTATAGTTTTCCTATAATGTAGACAAGAAAAGGACAAAAGAATGATTCTAAAAGTCAAAAGTATGCGCCTAGTAAGTATTGGTAGTTGGTAGTAAAAATTACCTAATAGTGTCTTATTGGATGCACTCATAATGTAGCCTATCGTCGAACGTAAGTCTTTGTTACACGGGAAGTTAAGGTGCGTTTTAATCATCCGCTTCTGCTTCCGGAATTGCCGGTTTAGTCGTTTTAACCTGTTAGATTAAAACAAGAAAACCGACAATTCCGAAGCAGAAGCGGATGATTAAAACGCACCTATTGATTGTTAGGAATATTTTTTTATTCTTGATACCTTGGTCAAATACTCTAAATGATGAAGGCCACTAATAAAAAAAAAGAAGAAGAATAAGACACATAACCAAACATTGTCAGATTTGCTGACGTGATTATCCTTCCTCCATGGAGTTTTAGTTTTTTCTCACGATATACCCACCTAAGGGGTAAGTCTGATTAATTATAATATATGGCCCTTCTGTAGTATCAGTGTAGTGCTTAAAATCATAAATATTTTATAAGAAGTGTAAATCAATTGGTAGACGAATCTTTTGTTCTCAAATAATGATAGAGCATTAGCTTCAGATGAATGTAAAATGTAAGCTTCTTACTGAATCTTCCGAGGAAATACCATTATTCTTTTCTCCAGGAAAAAACTCGTGTAAAATTCAAGAATCTGAGTTTATTTCAACAGCTCTCTTTGTATAGGATAATATTAATTCAAAGACATCTACGGCTAATGATTTACCTATTCTTAGTAATAAAGTAACTGATCATTATAAAAGTGTTAAGAGGAAATAAAAATATGGACAATTCGTAATAAAATTGCAGACAAGGCACTATGTAAACCTATTTTTGTTTTTTTAGAGATGTGTAAGAAAATCCACAGTACACAAATGGCTACGGAAAATGTAGAGGCCTTTACTATAAATAAAGTGACCCAAAAATGCTATAGAAGTAAGTATTATTGTAATGTTTGTCTCAAGATTTTGAAATATTTCTATTTTACTGATATACATATCTTAATATGTCATTTTTTTTAGCAGAAAAGTACGTGAAGAACCTCAACAAATAAATTTATATTTTTAGTTTTTTGTATGTATGTATTGTTTTATTTTTTAAAATAAAATTTAAAATATTTTGTATTTAAGTATGGGTTTTATTTTCTAAACTATGGTACGGCATTACAAAAAAAATAATTGAATATGCCATGAATATTCAAAATACCATGAATATAGGCATACATAGATATCCTCAGTAAATTCAGAGAATATGCCATACATATATTTTAGCAGCTAAAAATATATCGTGGGCATATGTTTCATGGTGACCTTGAATATTCCTGCAATCTTCCCGTCATATGCCATGGCGGATATGGCATATCCATGGAATATAGGAGTATGCAGTTGAGATATGCATTGAATATTCATACAATATTTTTGTGCTGTCTGGGTTGTGATGAAGTACATACATTATTTGTGTCTTCAGTCATAATATTTAACTAGAGCATTGGTCGCCAACCTCTCAATTTGTTGAGCTACTTTGTTAATTTTGGAATAAACAGCGAGCTACCCACACGGAAGCCACGTAACGCAACGTAAATGAAATAATCCACAGTTAATTTATCATTATATGTATTTATTTTACTATTTAACTGGTAATACATAATACATAGGTACTAATAATAAACTAATAACAAAATAACTAATATTACTAGTACGTACTTGTTCATAGATACATTCCTACCTACCAAACGAAGGTGTTTGAAAAATAAACACAAACTTTTTTCCAGCCACAACGGCATGTCACGTAAGATTTAAAAATAGTTAATAATAACAACAAAAAAATAACGCACTATCATGAACATAAACATTGAAAAATAAAAAAGCACGTTCAATGAGAAGGCTGACACTCAGACTCATCGATAATTTTTTTAATGTTTGCAGTATAATTTGATACAGCCATTCGAATACAACTATCCAAATGTTCATCTGTAAGTCGATTGCGATATTTGTTCTTAATAAACTTCATATTGGAAAAAGAAGATTCACACAAATAGGTTGAACTGAATAATGCTTTCACTTTCAAGGCAACACGGCATAGAACTGAATATTTGTCTTTACTTACAATAGGCCAGATACATTTGGTACTTGAGACTAACGATTTTAAGGCTCATTTTGAAACTCAATTACTTCCATTTCTGTTGCAGCGATGTCTTCGCCAAAGTTCTGCATAACACAAGTTGCAAACAGTTGGATATCAATTTTCATAAAGGGTGAAACAACAAACTGCGCTACTAAAGCTATTGTTCAAGACATAGTCTCTCCAATAGGTAGGCTATTTTTATATCTTAGAGCTGTATTGTTGGGTGCATATACTTTACAGTCTTTTTGTTTATTTTTATTAGTAATCTTTATTTCTTCAAGTTGGTACTTAAAATTATAAGAAGGAGAAGGGGTTTCTTTCCCGGCTCACGCCATGTTTTTTCAACACTCAAGTACACTCTCAATCACAGACTTTTTAAGCAAAGGACTACGGTCTCTTGTGTAAAAAACGCTCTTTCTGATTCACTCTAAAACCAATAAATTAATACTTTAAAAGTGTAAAACGTAGTGCTGGTGATCGCGAGTGGAATCTAATAAAAAAGTGGAATTTCTAAGACTTGTTTTACCGGCTACCTTTTTTTGTTAAAGTTTTGTTCGAGCCAATGGCGATTAGTTAAGTTTTTGTTAATAAATGTTGTTAAAGAACTAAAGCGCGTATGATTTCACTGAAACAAAAGAAAAGAAACAGCGACATATGGATTTAGAAGATATACAGTTCACATTATCTCCAATAGTTTATATTTGAGATGGCTTCTCTTAACATTATGTACAAAGACAGTACAGCCATTTCGTTGAAATCCTTAAAACGATTTTTGAAGTTATTCTTCAGGGTAGAAACTATTTCTACATGATATTTGCTGTCATAGGGTTCTAATGGATTTTGAGATATTTTTTCTGAAAGAATAGGAAAATGCTTGGCATCGCTGTTAATTAGGTTCTGTTCCCAAAACTCCAGCTTTTTGATAAACGCTTTTATATTAGAAATCATTTCCGCTAGTTCTTTGTCCACGAGAAAACCAAAATCTCTAAGCCAGATTGAATTTTCTAGTTCCGGAGTCGGTTCATCGCGTTGTTTGAAAAATTGAACTATGCCAGATAGGATATCATTAAAACGTTTCAGCACCCGTCCTCTACTTAACTATCGGACTTTAGAGTGAAGGAGTACGTCCCCGTATTGACAGTCAACTTCATCGGCCAAGGTTTCGAATAATCTTCTTTGTAACGCTTGAGCTCTAATCTTGTTCACAATTTTTACCACCAGTTTCATAACGTTGTTTAGTTTCAGGAAATTTCCACATAATGCTTGCTAATGGATAATGCAGTGGTAACAGAGAAATTGCGGAAAAGTTTCATCTTTACGACATAACGCCACCAGACCCTTATCACAACCCACCATAGCTGGAGCGCCATCGGTTGTCAAGCCTATCATTTTCGATATTGGAATTTTCTCGGAAGAAATAATATTTTTTAAATGAGAAAACAACTCTTGTCCAGTAGTGTGTCCTTTCAGTGGAATAAACTTCAAAAGATCTTCTTTAATCGTAAAATCACTAAAAACCATCCTGACGAACACGACCATCTGGGCAGTGTCAACGACATCTGTTAATTCATTCAGTTGAAGTGAAAAATAAACACAGTTATCTAAGTCAGTTTTTAACTGTAAAAAAATATCATTGCTCATTACTTCTACACGTCTCATCACTGTATTAGCAGAAAGTTGCATAGATTTTATAGTTGAAACTATCTCGTCTTTATTTCTAAAGTTGGCAAATAACGAATCAGCAGCTTCTAAAAACGCCTGTTTTATCATTTCCCCGTCTTCATAAGGTTTATTTTTTTGGGCAATTATCTGGGACACACGGTAGGATGCTTCAGTTGCAGCCTTATTTTTGTCGACTGTTCTTAAAAATATTGATTGTGGTCCAATTAACTGCTTTTTTAACTGTTTCAGTTTCTCCTTTCTGGCGGCAGAATGTAGTAGGAATGATTTTTCAAAATTAGAATGTACAGTTTTATGATGTCTCTCAATATTTCCTTTTTTAGCAACGGAGACCGAAGTATTACATAACAAACACACATTTTTATCTTTAACTTCTGTAAAAAAGTATTGTTCTTCCCATTCCGAATGAAAGTGGTATGTCTTTACCTTCTTACAACTGCTTGCCATAATATTATTTTTTGTTGTTCTCTACTAACCCAACCGCTGGACGTTGGTTACGCGTTCAGTTTTAAACTAAGCGCAATGTCACCGCGCCGTGCGTATTTATCCCGTTCAAAGCAATCCTGATCGTTCTCGAACACTAATGCGCTGGTCCGGCTGGTCGGTTCTAGCCGATTCTAGCTTGATGGCGTCAGCGGCAGATCGCTCACCGCAACGTTGCCGCTGTTTATGTTTAATATTATGACAATTAGATTTTATTGTGGAATTTTCGGAAGCTTCTCTGATTTTTGCAGTTTGTATTTTTTAAATTAAAATCGTTGTGAGAACTACCAGAATTGCCTCCGCGAGCTACCGGTAGCTCGCGATCGACAGGTTGGCGACCACTGAACTAGAGTATAGTGTAGGTCATTTTGCACGTGCATACATATATAACACATGTCAAAGGCGAATATTATGTTTCATTAATCAAAGTGTAATGTAGCCATTATAATAGATATCTCTTATCTAAAACCATTAAAATATCACATAAGTATATGTTTATTTATTAACATTTCTTGTGTCTAATAGTAACAAAAATTAATATTTGCGGGACGAGCAGAGCGAGGTCCCGCAACTTGAATGACACAAATTTTGTCTAGACTATTTACAAAATTGTATTTTGGTAAAAATTTACTAACATCTATGCAATCAATATTACTTTCTTGTATTGTTAGTTGCATAGGCATAATCTCATTCATTTGATTGACAAATAGAAAATAATATTATTTTATTTTCAAAATTTTGATGTAGCGTATTTATATTGCTTTCTAAAGTTATTTATGTTTAAACATGTTGTCATTAAGAGAAGATACTCACGAACAGAATATCCATAATACCAATCCATTGCCAATAATGGCCGCAAACCATAAAAACACGTAAATCATTCCGAGTAGAAGATGAAGAGATTTTTCAGGAGCAGGATAAAGCTGCCAGTGCTCCGGAATGTGAATAAGATCCTGCGGATCAACATTCCAACCAATCTGATGAATTACCCCGCTAGCCATAGGATCCATCACCCTGAATAACAAAATATATATTCAGAAATATAAAAATTATGATCATATTATTTTTTTATGTTTATGTTTTATGTCCTGATTAAAAGTTTTTATAATAAATTCAGTCAAGTTATGATAACACAATCATAGGAAACACAAGTAGAATTATGCAGACGCGGCAAGTCCAAGATAAGGCCCTCCAAGATCTAGCGGCAACAAAACTAGTTCGTTGCTGTCATTTTCTAGCTTTTACATTTTAACTTTTGTATTATTAAGACCTAAAATAAAGTTCCATTTTTTGTATTTGATATTTTAAAAAAAAACAATTTTTATTAGCGAACCTAAAAGTGTCATATCCAAATTTCTTATTATAAAATTGAAAACATATCAAATTTTTTATTTGTAAAATTAAGATTCTATGTACCGTAAAACGGGTATATATGGAATTGCAGAGGTTATATGGAACGCAGGTGCATCTTTTTAAATTAGGCGCCATATCATAAGACAATATCACAGCTTATACAATACAGCTCCACAACTCCGTGTCGGCGTCTTTGATCTGGCGGTCGAGAACCAAGCAAGACGGAATGGTGCTATCTCTGTTAGATTCGAGGGAAAAGTCGGGCCCGGATTAAACAATTTTTTTAATATTGAAAAAATTGAAAACCTTGGCGTAATAAGGTTGGTTACATGCCATATTAAGTAAGTTTTGGGAAATTAAATTTTTAATTTGTTTTAAATCTGTCAAATATAATTAGAAACATTATTTAAATATAAATATTACGAAAAATAGCACATCTTTCGGATTAGAGGTAAAATAATTTGTATGTGGCTAGTAAAATCCTCGTTAACAAATGTTTTGAGCTAAAACAGTCACTTCACGACAAATTGTGGCTTGGATCCTTTTTACACCAAGGGCTTCAATTGTTAAAGAATTGCGTCACGCTCGTGGATGCAAATCAAGTGGTACCCCGTGTCTCTGGCAAGTGTTACTCTTCGCGCAAAGGGTTTATACCTAGATAAACGAATGCTTCGACTGAGGTCTGGGAACTCTATGGTATTTTGGAATTATAAAGAATTTGTGCTTTTATTTTAACAATATTGGTTATATTTAGATGTATTCTTATTAATTGAAATACAGATTTGTAGAAGTAATACTTTGACAGTTTTTATTAATATAATATATTCAATTTTTATCTGACCATACCGAAGTAGGGAATTTTGAAACTTTATAGTAATGTGAAATTTGAATTACAATATTACACGATATTACATAATTAGTGCTTATTTTAGGTAGGTACTAAATTTGTACTTGGAGAAAGTAATATCGATTTTTATAAGAAAACTTGAAAAGTAAATTAATTTAGTTCCTATTTCTGATGTAAAACTTAAGTTTTGGTTTAAACCAAGAAAACAAATAAATTATAGTTTGTTCAACAAGGGTGGATATGATAGCAATATCACACAAAGACGAAGTTTGAGCACGACGTCGTATGCGGAGTACTCAATCGTCTGATTGTGATATGAACAATCCACTCGATATGGTCAGTATATTTTTTCTACGACCCACTAACGAAAATCTACAAATTTAAAAAATTATTTTAGGTTATTTAGACAAAATAACTAATTTTAAAATAATTTACGAAGTTGACTAATTTATAAAATAAAATTAACATGAAAAATTAATTAGTCCTCGGCTTAGATTCAATCCCGGGCTTTTCGCGTGGAAGGCAGATGCTCTGTCCTCATCTTCACCGAAACTTTCAGGACTTTAGTTTTAATACTCGTAATTAAATTAGTATCATGTAGTTTGATTAAAATTTATTTTTTTTTAAATGTGGACACAATAAATACAAAAATGCTATTATTTATCGAGTCTACACAAAAATTTTAATGTATATTTAATATCAATAACTAAAATATATATTGACAATTAGTTTAACAGAATTGTCACTTATTTAAAAAAATTTAAATAATAGGAGTTGGGTGACCAAAATATGAACTGTGATTTGTAGATTTAATTTTGTAAAAGTGTTCTCACTACCTAAAATGGATATGAAATATATTCGTAGTTGAACGCAATAACATACTTTTTCGTTTTGTAGTATGTGCATAGATTGGCTAATATCCATGCACAGATTACAAAACGAAAAAGTATGCTATTGCCTTCAATTGAACGAATATATTTCATATCCATTCTAGGTAGTGAGAACACTGCAAAAAAAAATAAATTCGCCAATCACCGTTCATATTTTGATCAACCGACTGCTATTATTTTTAAAATTTTAAATAAATGACAATTCTGTCAAACTAATTGTCAGTATATTTTTTAGTTATTGAGATTAAACATACAATAAAATAAGTTATTCTTTTGGAAAACGTTAGCATGGATGACTAAAGGGTATTGGGTTAATTAATTCTAAAAGTGTGGTACAAATGTTATTTTTTGTAGCCAATTCTTCAAAATTATTTTGAAATATCTTTTCAATATTGAATATTAGTTCTACAAATTCATCATTTGACAGTTGCAGATTTCCAAATGTATCTGGATTGGCGTTACCATATGCCTTTAAAAAGCAATAAAAAGAAAAATCATCTAATTCAACGTGATCTTTGTTATATTTAAGACAGGTATCGCAGAGGAGTGGATCCGCAAGGCTTTTATTAAAAGGTAACCACACACATACCTGATAAAATTTTTCTGTATCAATTCGTCTTTACAATAATTTAGGGTGTTAATAATTTTATCATAAAATAAAATACAAGGTGTTCCATTTAAAAAACATACATTTTAATTTGCCAGGCAAAAACGTGACACCCTGTATATCCAAAGATATTTTTAAAATATGTAGGTATTTTTCAAATCCATATAACTTTTATTTAAAACTTTCTTGCGTGTCTACAACAAAATAATGAACAATAACGCACTAATGGGATACCTTGTATAAATTATATTTTTAACAATGAAAATTTCTTATAATGTGGTACTTATCGGTTTGGGTCCTTGGGAAAACTAAAGAATGTTTTCTTGCAGGTATAACCCTTATTAAAACAGCTTTTGACTGCACAAACAGAATGATGTCTTTTTTTTCACTCATTCTACTCACAGCTAAAGAGTCACCAAAATAATAACAGTACCTTTAACTCAAACAAAATCAACGAAATTATAGGCTCCACGAAATTATACAATCAACGAAATTATAGGCTCCACGAAATTATACAATCAACGAAATTATACGCACGACTCAACACCTTACCTAAGTACGCTTCTGAACACCAAAACCGTCTTTTCCCTTCGAAGGCGGAGCTTAAGCGATGCGCGACGAAATCGACGCAAACCGTTGCCGCCAAGAGAGTGTTTTAGCTGTATTGTTAAGCTGTGACAATATTGCTAACAGTTCGCAAGACCAATGCCAGTAGTAAGTATATATTCAACGAAGTGTTAGCAACGTGCTTTAGTGTTGACTGTATTATTAAGTAAGTCGTGATAAAACTTTTATTTTATATCATCTTTATGAACTATTACCTACCTGTAGTTGTCTCCTTTATAGCTCAGAACCTGTAAAACATTTTATATTTTTGTAATGAACAAAATGGTGTCTCATAACCTCAAAAACATCAAATGATGTTAACTTAGTGAAAAATAAATACAGGTTTAAAATTTTTACGGTTTGAGTAAAAAATTGTATTTTGCTGGGTTATATGGAACATGCCTAGAAAACATAAACACGTGCCAGGTACGACTTATAGGCGAAATTACTCGATGGATAATTTAGAAAAGGCATTGGAAGCGGTTATTGCCGATGGAATGTCATTTAAACAAGCGGCAGAGGCGTACCAAGTTCCGAAAACTACTATTTACCGAAAGTATAGAGGACAAAACGGTGATACTCTGGGGCGACCACCTGCATTAAATGTGGTTGAAGAAAACCAAATAGTAAATGGTATGATAACGGCCGCTGAATTTGGTTACCCTTTTACTATATCTGAGTTAAAAAGATTCGACAAGCAGTACTTAGATAGGAAGGGTGTACGAAGTGTTTTAAAAAATAATTTGCCCGGGATAGAATGGTGTAATCTGTTTTTGGGTCGTCATGACGAGCTTCGACAAAGAAATTCTGACAATATCAAAAGAGTCAGGGCAGAACTAGGCCCAGAAGTAATTTGCAGTTATTTTGACCATTTGGAAACAACGCTGGAAAATGTGGAAGCTGACAACATAATTAACTATGATAAACAAATTTGACGGACGACCTTGGAAAAATTCGAGTGATAGTCAGAAGAGGGGTTAAACACGCTCACCGAACTATTGATTTTTCCAAATCATCAACTTCCGTTATGTTTGCAGCTACAGGTTCAGGATTATTTTTACCTCCGTATATTGTATATAAGGCAAAAAATTTATACTCAGAGTGGCTTCAAGGAGGTCCAGATGGATGCTATTACAATCGTAGTGAAACAGGCTGGTTTGATGCTCCTATATTTGAAAACTGGTTCGAAAAAGTTGCTCTGGTGTATTTTCGTAGGTTGAATGGAAAGAAAGTTATTATTGGCGATAATCTCGGAAGTCACCTGTCTTTGAAAGTTTTACAGCTTTGTAAAACTCACAATATTCATTTTGTATTTTTACCCCCAACAGTACACATCTTCTTCAACCCCTTGACGTTGCTGTATTTCGATCAATAAAGGCAGCATGGAGAAAAATTTTAAATGAATGGAAACTGTAAAATCGGGGCTGTTTACCAAAAACTGAATTTCCCAGATTGCTAAGAAAAACAATTGAATCGATCAATAATGGTGCCAATATTTTAGCTGGTTTTAGAGCTTGTGGGATAATTCCTGTTAACCGAGAAATTGTTTGTAACGGTTACTCTTCTAGTACCGTTATTTTTTAATATTTTATAACTATATTTTTAAAATGATTGTCCCATCTCTATTAGGACCGATAGTTTCATCACAGCTTATTCATATCCAGCTAGAACACTCTCTTGGCGGGAACGGTTTGCGTCGATCCCTTCGCGC